GCATTGCGGAACTGGAGGCTTCTATGGCAATGGATAAAATACGTGTGGATCCCAAGTACTTTCGACATATCATTGGTCGCCAAGGTGCTATGATCCTCAGATTGCGCGAAAACAAGGTTCAGATACGTATGCCCACATTAGAGAAAGGGGACCATCTGGAAGCGAATGAAATCGTTATCGAGGGTGATCCCCAGGGAGTAGAACGGACGAAGAAAGAGATTCTTCAATTAGTGGAAAAATTGGTGAGTGAACTGTGAGGAGGCGATAGGGGCGCAATGCCACTTGTCGCAAAAGAGCAAGAGAATTTCAATGCGTTTTCCCACGTTTTCCACTACCGCATTGTTATACCACTAATCCACACTTNTTCAAACCATGGGTCTCGGACAAACGGAGCCGACAGTTTTTTAGACTTTGCAGACCATGTTCTTATTCCACTAACGCAGGTCCAAGAAGTGTTTGCATTACTATTTTTATTTTCACACACGTCTGAGATCAAATGGTGTGCTAAACAAATCACGGTACAATAATCTTTATAAAAAGAAATAAATTCCTTGATCTGCATGTGGGTGGTATACTACCAGGTTTCTCAGACCAAGACAGGTGAATTTTCTTGAGGAATTCACAACCGAAGCCTTCTATCCAAAGTCTGATTTGCAAGTTCAGCGGAACAGTAAGTAAACCGCACTCCATTGAGGGCTGATGTCCAGTTCATGAGATCATGCGCCCTTTGGGTGGGGTCAAACGTCCAAGGTGCCCAGTGCACCCCGGTACCCAATCGAGTCGGTGACCATTGCCACAACCAAGGTATAGATGAGTGTGGTTCGTATACATCTTGGTTGATTTGGAATTAGCCAATAGTGAATAAACTACCAGTGGTTCGCCTATCCGGTTAAAGCCCCGGGTGTTGACTTTCCGTTGTTTCACTTTGACGAGAAAACACCTCGGCGATGGAAAGGCAGTGAGTAGAGCTTCCTCGGTAGAAGCTGTTTGAGACGCCTAGTCCTATGGGAGCATTTCTCTAGGCCCAAAGGAGGGGAGATCAGCCGCATCCGGTGGCCCAGTGGTTTAGTCGCTGCCACCGGCGTGCTTTGGACCCTATGGTCCGAGGTTCGAGCCCCGTCACCGCCACCCGAATTTGATGGTAGGCAGCTCTGTTGTCGTCCGGTTCAATACCACGCCTAACCTATCGGTGCCTTATGTGGTTCGCCACTCTAAGTTCCGGGGCTTGGGTTGCCAATTTCAACCACTGAACAGCGGGGCCTCGTGACTATGGGGTTTACTCCGTCTGCTGTTCACCACACCTGTGTGTAATAAAAAAACGAGACACTCACCCCCGACCATACTGATATTTTTATAGGTGTGCCACAATTTTCAAGGGGTTTTTAGCCATAAACAATACCCACTGACTGCACTTTGTTCGTTCAATTGACTCAGACGTTGCTAATCAGTTCACTCTTGAAACCGTTCTGTCTCGCCTACAGGAGAACGAGAAGTGTAAGGATGTGATTATCGAACCACGCGTCCAGCATCTACTGTGTACTGGATACAAAAACGTCCCTCCACCAATCCGTTCAATCTACGACAGTTTCCCTAAAGTCAGTTTCCTTTGGCCGGATAACCAGGACTCGGGTGAACACGCAGCCATCGATAATCCTGCCAGAAGTCTGGTCCAGCTACGCGGTGATCGCCAACAGGTTGACGCAGCTGCTGAGCGTCTACAAAAGCTTATCAAACAAGTAATTGAGGAAAATCATCGACAGGAGGTGAGTTGTACATTCCCCCGTCTGTGTCCATACATTAAAACCACTTTTAATTGCGACCAATTTTATGTGATGGGCGATAAAGATCATTGCGCGTGTTACGTCCCTGTCTCTGTCCCTGTTAGGACTCAATCAGCATCAGCATCTTAAAACAATGATAATGATATAGGGAAGGAAAACTGCTAGATGACAAGCTGTTTTTGTACGCATTGTTTGATGGACAGTAGATGGATTAATTTTCATAGTCACGAGAAGCTGCAGTTCATCCATTATTTGTGTTGATTGGCGAATCTAGATCGTTCGGGAGGGTTGTATCGAGGCGATGAACTGATGCTATGGTGTTCACATGGTTTGTCTATATAACTTATTCCTTTTCCTCGCGTTCACAGTTCCATGGCATATAATTGTCATCAATGTAAAGCGAAATATGGTGGAGCGAACTTCACTGATCGCTGCCGAACTCGCAATGCATACATAGTTATTGGTAATAGATAGGGTGAATAGAGATTGGACCTATTTTAAGTGATACCGTTTCAAGCATTCTGGCCTGATAAATGGCAAAAAGCGCGTCACTGCTTTCCGTTCTCTACCATATCCTTCAATGTCTCCAACTAGCCAGTTACCGAAACATTCGGATCCGAACCGGGAAAACGGGAGATATCTACTCTACCTGGCTGTGTGCACTTTTTCATGCCTCGTCTCTTGTCGCATATAAGTAATCGGAGATAAAGAATCACATTCGCTGCAGGTACTATTTTTGCCTTAATGGATAGGCTTCGTTTCTAAGCACTTCATTGAACTGCTTGTTTAATCCCTTCCAGATCAGAATATTCAAAGAATTTCGACCTCTTATTTTCGGCCGAGGATCTGCGAAAATTCAAAAACTCCTAGACGATACAAAGACTCGGATTCAATACCCTAATCCATCCGATGGTTCTGACGTGTTTACTATCATTGGCCGCGAGGAGAATGTACAACAAGCAATTCGTCAACTTGAAGATCTCCAAAAGCAGCTGGTATGCATCTATCGTATTGCAGCATAAATTCTGCTTCAGTCATACAGGGTTATGTATTAAGTTGAGTAACGTGAGGTTGGTTGCATTTTATCCTGAGTGTTGCACGTTTAAAGACCTACACGTGTTATTCGATAGTTAAAAAAAAACACTAACACTTAGGAAAACAGAATACCGGAAAATTGCAAAGCCAATTTAAAAATCGTTCTTCTTGAAAGGAGATACAAATGGAAAAGATTCGGGAAGAGAAGGAATGCTTTTCTTTTTTGATGTTGTGGGTTGCGTGTGTTCGCGCGACTCTATCCGTTCTGATAGAACCCTTGCTAGGTTGATACTTTGATGTGCATGCGAGTTTAAAATTTTTCGTATTCGGTGTACCTTTTAGCGGGCAAGATGTGAATAGTCCTTCGCATATATACATGTGTGTGTATGTTTGTATGTACAGAGGAAGTCTATAACCAGTGCCTGACATTACAAACGTGTACTATGAATGGCAGATTGATTCCTTGTACCCGTCAATCTCTCTCTCTCTCTCTCGAAATCAAGGCCGACGTGAAAGAAATTATTGTTTCCATTCCATCTGCATTGACTACCAAATTCGTCGGTGACCAAGCCCCCAGTCTGCGGTCCATTCGCGAACAATGTGCTGGTGTACATATGCGTTTTGTCAATCCCCCTCAGAAGTACGTTCGCAAAGGGAACCAGGTTGAGGTGGTGGTTATCGGCCCTTCGGAAGCGTTGAAACAAGCACAACAGCTTCTCAACCAACTCAATGCAAAAGTGGCGCAGCTTTGCGCTGAGGTAAGACGAGTTCAGAATGAACATCATTGAAACGTTCTGCCTCCAATGTATTTATCAGTGCTCTGTGATGCGCCACGCAGCGCAAACTGAACTAAACCAGTCATGCAAAAATATGCCATTTATCGCGCATACTAGCGAAAGGAATAAGTCTCAGGGACACTGGTCGTTGACGGCATCCGGTAGTTCGGAACATGTGACCTGGAGAGGAAAACCATGAACTTTCGGCATTGAGTTATGCGAGTGAATCTATATTTCCGCTTAAGGTTGTCTAATCTCTAATTGATTCCGCCTGTATGTTAATTCAGCCATTGTCGTTGTAACAAATAACACGGAAGAATGTTCATCCAATCGATTTGTTCACATTCCATCAAGTATTTGCATGAAAGTGAGACGTCAGTTAGTCTGAAAACTTGTCCATAATTTAACCAATCCGCCAACAACTGAAAGTGTTCTGCACTGGTTTGTGCGGCAAACAGATCAGGAAACACAGAGCAAATCACAGTCACATCCCAATAATACACACAAGTATCCTCCTATCCGCACATGAACCTGATTCTTTCTGTTCGGTTTCAATGCCGTTTGTCACAACCACAGCTATAACAGAATAAGATCGCAAGCATGTCTTCCAGGAGGCACGATTATCGGAATCTGCTTGGTGAATCAGTGTGTGCATGTCATGAGTGACACCATTCGGACACTCATTTATCCGTTGATGCGTGTATAACGCGTGTATACACTATTATAATGTGATCGTCATGAGCCTAACTTGCCTCGGTCGTCATAATTATTTGCGGAAGGTTTTCGGTCAGCCAATTTGTTTGACCAAGTACGGTTCATCAAACAAATAACACAGTAGTGTTCTACCAATCAGCCGAATAAGTAGTTTAAAAATTATGCCAGACTCCTCTCAGGAAACAAAACAAAACCATTATACACGATTCGAAAATATCTCTTTTTTTCAGGCATCGCTTCTTACTCAGTTACTTTCGTTTGCACGACCTGTCTTGTTCACTTTCGTCATACTCGTTTTTCTTTTTTCCTTTCCTCCAGGAATTGGTCCATGTGGATCCTAAATTCCATGGTTTTCTCATCGGTCGTCAAGGCTCGAACATCACTCGTTTCCGTGAACGACACAACGTTGAGCTTCTCTTCCCGGATCGCATGGAAACAGATCCTAAGTTATCAATGGAGATCCGCATTGTTGGACCAAAAGAAGCAGTTGCACAGGCTAAGGCTGACCTAGAAGCAATGATCAAGACTTTGGTAAGCTAATCAATGCTTTTTATGGCACATTTTTATGGTTCCTGCAAAACCGACCTGCTTCGAAAGTCGGTGCTCGATTATTTCGCTAATCGAGCATCTAGACGAAGCGTATACAAAACAGCCTGCTCAGAGAGTCGACTGTAAGCAGGCATATTCAATTGTACACTGCATTACACTCAGGCGTGAGTGGTTTTGATGCCTGTACTTTTTGGTTTTGGGGTGAATGTTGAATTGAACGAACAGATAAGAACTGTAAAACGCCATACCATAACCACTTGGATTTTTGGTCACAACTTTGTCGAATTGACAATTTCCTCGCTACTCTCTCGCAAACCTACAAAGAAAGGTGTGACATGTAACCATTAGGGATTTTCGAATTGGTTTGCTGGTGGAAAAAAGTTGAAGGCAAGGTTGGCGCAAAATCATTATCAGTCTGAGATGACCGCATTTGGAAGGCAAATAGCGACATCGAACATGAATCAGAGAATGAATTTTTGTCAGTTTCAACACTGACGGTAGTGGCAGTAGCAAAACCCCCATTCTCAAACGTTTGTTACGATGAGTTCCTGAACATGTAACCAGTGCAGCATAACTGCATGCCTTAATGAACCCGGAAATCTCTGTTAGTAAGATATAGTTTTCACCCTAATTCCAGTAATGGACAACGACAAGGTGTCCATGATTAAAAGCAATTGATATGCCGGAGCGCTGTAAATGCACTGAGCTATACGTCACTGGCTGTCGTCGGCTGCGTTTTGATTGCCGGGGAAAACCGAGGTGATCATTCTGGATGATGTTCGAACTGTGTATCTCTGTATCCGCAGTGGAACTACTTTGAAAACTTCTCACTTCCGTTAATCTACGAAAATTATGAGGAATCTTATGTTTCAAGCGAAATAACACCTATATGTACTTGTAGCATTATGGTTATTATGTCGAAGTATAAAGTTCCTGTTACAGTCCCAGTATAAACACAGTGGGGAACTTTTGATGTGCTATTGGAGGAGGATCATATGAAAATAGATGAAGTTTTCCGAGACGTAAAAAATGACTGGATTGCATAGTTGGAGGCCTGTTAGACAAAACAACTCAATTTTTTGCACACAACTCCAAAGACTCGTTTATATTATGTTATATATATATATATATGTGTAATATTCACGCCTCTGAATCCAAACTGTGCCAAATAAATTATGCTACAATAATCGTTATGAAAAAAAACATTCCGTNATGTGGGCGGAATACTGTCAGGTTGCCCAGGCCAAAGCAAGTGAATTTCCTTGAGGAGTCCACAACCAGAGCCTTTGGCTAGCCGAAGCCTGACCCGCAATCTATGGGGGGTCGGTGTCCAGTTCATCGAATCATGCGCCCTTTGGACGGGGTCAAATATTCAAGGTGCCCAATCGAGCCGGTGACCACTGCCATACGGAGGATGGTGTGGGTGAGTGGTTCGTACGCCTCTTCTTGGTTGGTTTGAACTCGGGGTTTTTCGCCAATTACCTTGAGTGAACTACCAGTGGTCCACCAACTCGGATGTCTGCTTTTCATTCTTCCACTTTGGCGAGGGAACAACTCCGCCACGAGAAGGCAGTGAATATGGCTTCCTCGGCTGAGGCTGATGAGACCTAATAACAGGTCAAAGATGTGCAGTGCTTCTTAAATCTTTGGTTCACGCTTTGTTTGCTCTGTGCTCGACGCAATTCACTATATAGTCGTATCAAACTCTCCACTACTCTAATGTGTGTAGCTTTTCAAGTGTCTCAACCGTGTGTCTTAACCATTATTCACAACTCTAACATTATTCTCACCCACCTACTTTTTAAGGAGGACGAAATCGAACAAACCATCCCAGTCGATCCAGCTATTTTGAAGGATATCGTAGTTTACCGACGTTCTTTTCCCAACCCAGAACTCGATCGAGTGCGAGTGATAATGCCCAGAAGTGCTGCTCCTCGTACTCCCTCAGATGCCGCCACCAATGCATCTGGTACTTCCGATCAGTCCAAATCCGTGATCAAACTTATCGGTCAGAAGGCCTGTGTAGAAGTGAGTTGTTTCCTTGTTCATTGCTATTTCAGCTTGCTCACATCGTACTGTCATTCGTGACGATCGCATCGATTATGTTCGTTTCACTCTATTTTGCTGATGGAAACCTCGGGTGATCAATGGCGACTTTTAGCGTACATTGAATACTGACACTCATCCTTTGATCAAGGTTAGCATTGGTCAAACAATCAAAATGTAACGAGCTTCAGCGATTGTTTCCAAGCTCACAATAGATACAACGTAAGTTTGAATGTGGACGATGAATGGGGTTGGACTTCCGCACACCCGAAGCGGTTTGACTTGATGACTCACTGCTTTTTCTTCAGTGTTTTCAAACACCAGTTGCGGAGTCTAATACCTCTGGCTGGAAGATGGAAGACAGCTGCTCTACCTTGTCGCTCTGTGCATTTCATCATTCTCAACCCCCACATGACTTCCTCTTACAGCAGCTACCTAATAAAGTGCAATGCGGTGGACGACAATTGGGCATGCACAAAGCGTATCCTAATCAGCGAAGTCCACTAATCTGGATTCGATGTGATAGCAAATTTTCCACCCATTCATCCCCCAATACTCGTCGGCTTAACTGCTTCAAACTGCGTAAGCATCGACAGACGACGCATATCTTCCACGCGCAAAGTTGGGGTCTCGCAACCGTCAAGCAGAACTGACCGCACACCGGCGCTGTATACGCGACCTTTCAGTTTCAAAGAAACATCAACTCGACGCTAAAGGTGTTTCAGTTCAATGTGCGCTGTTGGTGCCTTGTTCAAGGTGATCATTGTACATCATTTGTTTATATTCTCATCATCTGCATTCACGTGCTCTTTTTGTGCATTTAGCAGAGCTGGGAGAAGAAACGCAGCAGCTTGATAATAGGTTCTTGTTAAGGTACGAAGAAAGAAGCCTTGGCGCCGTCTTCTGTAGGCGCTTTCCATTTTTCCCTTCGGGGTTCCAATGACGAGAACAGTCGTTAGTTGAATACCCAAGGGATGTGTTTCGAAATAAAATCTGGTCTCGTGAATACCGCACAATGTCCCGTAGAGAAAACAAAGCACCTGGACATGTACAGTGCAACTACAAAAACAATTGTGGTACTGTTATTCTAACGCCATCCGATTTGATTCTCCATTATTTTCTCTTCTCGTCTTCAGTCGGCAAGCCAGGCCCTTCAGAATATGATTCGCGACATTGAAGAACAGACCACCAAAGAGTTCCAGATTACCGACCCCAACCAGTTCATTGCACTTGATCGGTCGAGAACACAATTTCGCGATTTGGAGCATCAGTTCCGAGTTTTTATTAACCTTCGACGGACCATGGACAGTAATTCATTTACCCAAACTTCTCCTGAAAAGGTGAACGATTCCCATATGCAACGTGAGTTACTTTCTCCAGTCTACGCATTGCGGACCGATACGTATTACGTGATAGTTCCAGTTTGAACCACCGTGAACCTTGTGTGTAGGGGTAATTGGTGCTGTTTGAGACAATAAATTGTTTTAGATATCATGTGCGCATGAACCGTAGTAAAACGGAACCCAAAATGTATTTTCGTTTAATTATCATGAAAGGAAAACATTGGAATCCCTGACAAGCAACGCTCAGTTTTGAAAACATTTGTGCCCACCAAGATGTATATGCCAGTAGAAGCAGAAAACGTTTTTCCGCAGCTGAATTGCTTTCATTCTATTTTCGAATTTCGATGACGGTGATGCCAATTGAGTTTCTTTTCATCTCGAGTCGTGTTCAGCCTTCAGAGCGATTTTTAACTGTCACAGTCCCTGCCCCTAATTTCGGTGAACGTTTGTCTTATGAAATTTCTGTCCCACTCCCAAGTGTTCGCGTGTACTTCTCACTACTTGTATGAGACGCCTGTGGTCTTAGCAATCCGTAGGCCTCAAATCATCAAATTCACAAGGCCCGTCTGTCTTTACTGGCAATGATTTCTGAATCGGCTTCGATAAATAACTGGCCGTGGTGACAACCACATTCCTATTTCGGGAAGTATAGATCACACAGTATTGCTGTAAATCAAATGCGCATTCTTCCGTTTGTCAGAGTATTGTTAGTCTAAGCTCTATATTGCGCTGATTATTATATCATTAGCTTGATATCATGTTGAAGACGGTTGTTGAATGAATTTTCTTAAGAACAATGCTCATCCGTTTCTGTCGACAAAACTGAGGGTACTCAGTATTTAAATTTTTGTTGTCTGTAATTATCCCCCCCCCCCCCGNTCGATTAGTAACCGCAACTAACCTGAACTCCACTGAAAAGCCGCAGTCGATTTCAGAGAAAGGAAATTACTCCTTGGGCATTTGCCAGTGCATATCATACATGGTCTCTTGTGGGTGGTGTTTAACGCGGCCTGTAAGGGCCCCCAGAATCTGTGGTGTGGCCAAGTGTTTCTATTCTGCCATTGTTTTTCGCGTGCTTACATTTGGATCTCTCTGGTTCAGCTGGATTTCCACAGGACAACATTCCCTAAAAACCGTCCCAGGTTTTTCGTTGTTTTTACTTGTTTGTGTCAACTGTGTAACTGAACAAGCCATTCTCTCTGGATGGAAATAGCTAAGCGAAGGGCCATCATTTTATGCAAACAGTAGGGGAATAATCGATGAAGTTTGAAAATACCTTACGGACAATGTAATGATAACCAACGGTTGGTGGTGGTACAAATTGAAACTTTGTTTTCGTACTCCGGGATAGCAGTTTTAACTGAGTTTTCAACTTGATGATAACCTGTACTGCTCTTATCATTGTGTCCTGTAGCTTCCGGAACGCTATTCATCACCGGGCGTCCTGATCGTATTGATCAACTGTATGAGGAGGAAATTCGACCCATGCTTCCTATCGAGGAGGAGTTCCCGTTGTCTCAGGAATTCCATCGTGGGCTGATTGTGAATCCGTCTACGGAGCGCCAACGTAATCGCGGAGCACAGCCTGCTCCTCCTACTCGTGGCAGGCGGGGTACGCAGCAGCCCGAGAACACCACCGCTCAGCAACCGACCAACGAAACCCCAAGCAAAGCAGCCGAAATTAAACAGAAATACAATGTGCGTGTCGACTGCATGCTATATCTGATCTGATCAGTTTTGCAAAGTAGAGTTTTTCAGATATACCGAGACAAGAACATTTCATTTTATCGTCTCTTTTGTTTTCTATAATGTATTCCTCATTGTTGACATTTTATTTCATGATGGGTGGTTCGATGGCTCCACTTAACCTTATCTATTTTCGTCTTTGTTGTTTTGATATCGATCAGTGATGCGACACGATACAATGCATATTCGGTTGACCGCGGTATTCACTCGAATCTCCTGTCTCAAGTACTGTACACGCTATTTCAAGCTTCTATTCAATAGGTTACATAGCGGTTTTTCGATATGGTTACATAAACTAGTCTTGCTTGTTGATCACCCCAAAACGTTGTCAACTTCTTCCATTGGCAGGTTCTTATTCGGCTTCCACCTCAGCAGGCTGTTGGTGCCAACCAAATTTATCTTCGTGGAACACCTTCTCAAATTGCTTCAGCTAAAGCTGAATTGGTCGAGTGGACCAAGCACTGTGAGGAACTCAAAGCGGATCGAATAGCTCGGAATTTCGAGCTGTCCTTCCCAGTACCCACACGTTTCATGGCTGCCCTTATGGCACTCCGGCGGCAGATTGAGGCAAATCACGAGGTGTTCATGCGCGCCGGACCGGATTTACCGTCGCCTAATGTGAACGGGGTTAGTGGTACTCAGTCCGAGGTGACCACCAATGGGTTTGATTTAGAAGTTAATGCAAACCATCAGGAAAGCACGACTGAGGAAGACAATTCACATGTGCAAGCCGATGAGCAAAAAACAGAACAGTTGAATGGTAATCATGCAAGCGACGAAGAGGATCGAGTGATCGAGGATACCGACAAGCCAAATGACGCTGAATCCCAAATCACGACTAAACCTCCACATCCTGATGAATGTGCCCCATCTGTGCACGAGAGAATGTCCATGGTGATCCTTCGCGGTTATCAGCACAAAGCAGAAGCGGCGAAAGCCGAGTTGGAAACCACCATCCAGCAACTTCTTTCTCAGGTTACGGAGGAATTGTGGATTCCGGCTGCGGTGAGTAATGTTTTTTCGATTATCGAACAACAAGGAATGCGTATGTGATTCGTACGCCTCTATTTGTTTGGTTCGAAATCGGGGTTTTCAGTCAACTAATTTAGGTGAACTGCTAGTGGTTCACCAACCCGGTTATAGCCTCGGATGCTGGCTTTTCGTAATCTCACTTTGGTAGGAAAACCTCCTTTACGAGAAGGCACCTACTAAGGAGGGCTTTCTTAGCAGGGACTATTTGAGATGCTTGGTCGTATGGGAGCATTTCGTGAGGAGTAAGGGAACGGTGACCAGTCGCAATCCGAGTCAGCCCCCCCCCATACCATACTGAGGTATTGGAACAAATTAGGCCTCATGTGATAGCCTTTAGGTGCATTGGAAATCGGTTGCGATTCGCGTCGTTCGATTAGTGACCGCGTTCTTTCTTGCCTGCAGAGATCTGCTCGGTTTACTTTTTTGCGAAAGGACCCCCGCGGTAGGATGACCTGTTGAGCTCTTTACTCACAATTGGAAGTAGTTTGTGATCGTTATCCAACTTTTGATATTTGGATCGAACGCCTCGCCTAACCGAGAGATGATCTGTTGATCCATCCGCACC